CCAGGCTCTGGGCCCCAGCGCGGAATCTGGATGCGGTGCCTGCCTCACCCTGCCCGGGCCCGGCACAGCCTGGTGCTGCTGGACACCGAGGGCTTCCCCGACCACGAGCAGGTGCCTGGGCAGGAGAGGGCACTGGGAGGGCAGTGCGGGCTGTGGAGTGAGAGGAGGGGGAGCTGGGAGCCCAGATGCTGGGTCCCCCCCAGCTCTGGGAGAGCTGCGGGGTGAGAGCAGGGGGCTGGGAGCCCGGATGCCTGGGTTCGCTGGGGGGCGCGGCTGACGTGCAGCTGCGCGCAGGACGACGAGGATGCCTTTTCCCGGCTCTTCGTGCTGAACGTGCTGCTCAGCAGCGTCTTCGTCTACAACAGCCGTGGTGACGGTGACCCCCAGACCCAGCTTGAGCGCCTCACGTATCCTCTGCATGCCCTCGCGCCGCCAGGGCCCCTGCCCATTCCTTGCCCCCCACCCTGCCCATGCTTCACTTTTCCTTCACTGGTGCCACAGCTACGTGCGGGAGCTGTCACAGCGGGTGCGTGTTCTGCCCGAGTGCTGCGAGCCCTGGGACAACAGTGTGCTGCTAAGCACCATCCTGCCCACTTTCGTGTGGTGCCTGCGGGATGTGGTGCCCGACCCCCAGCTCGACTGGGAGCTGGAAGAGGAGCAGCATAACCTGGACTCCACTGTCAGCGCTACACCAGGTGGGCTGGGGAGGCTAGTGGTAACGCCCACCCCAGAGCCAGCTGCATCTCAGGGACCCTGTGATACCAGCCCTGACACCCAGCCCAGTTCCAGCTGACCACAAGGTACTCTGGGGCCGGGCCCTGTTTCCCCACAGGTGCAGACCACTCCCCGACTCGCTGCATCCAGAGCACCTTCTCCTGCCGCAAACTCTTCCGCTTCTGCCCCCCCGGCCTGGACGGGGAGTGGGGGATGCCACCTGCCCCCCTCGGCCCACTGCACCCCACCTTCCAGGGGCAGCTGGAGCACTTCCAGCAGTACGTCCTGAGCTGCGAGCCCAAGACTACCCTGGGGAAACACCTCATAGACGGGACGTGTAAGTGCAGGGGTGAGGGGATGAGCTCAGGTGTCCAGGTGGCCCCTAATGTGGTCAGAGGGTTGGCAAGGGTCAGGGGCAGACAGGTACCTGACCCCATGCCCACCCCACCCTCCCCCCCAGTCCTGGCTGGGTTGCTGGAGCGCATCGTGGAGCTGCTGGGCCGGGATGAGACCATCCTGTTGCAGGAAGTGTGCAAAGAGCTGCTGGAGGCGACAATGCCGGTACAGGCAGGGCTGGGAGGGGCACTGCTGGTGGGCAGGGGGGTGCAGCCAGTGACTATGTCTCTCTCCTTCCTCCCCAGCATGAGGTTGAAGGCTGCAGGACCCCCAGCCCCTTGGGACCAGTCCTGGAGAGCAGAGGAGCAGCCAGTGCTGCGCAGCCTCTCAGGCCCAAGCCCAAGGTAGAGGAGAGGTGTCAGCCCCAGGACAGGGGCTGAGGGCAGGGGGGACCCAGAGCTCAGCCCACCCCTCTCCCCACAGGTGGAGGCTGTTGTGGTCCTGCAGGCATCTTCAGCCCCTGACAGGGATGGCACCAGGGGAGACAGTGCCCAGGCGTCACTGTGGGACCCAGCCCAGGCCACCTCTGCTACGGGGCCCATCTGCCTGGTGGAGAATGTGCCGAGCCAAGGGCTGCAGGTGAACCGGGAGGCACTGGCGCAGCTGCAGGCCAGGAGCCAGCCCGTGGTGGTGGTGGCCATCGCTGGGCTATACCGCACTGGCAAGTCCTATCTCATGAACCAGCTGGCCGGCAAGAGGACAGGCGAGTGCCCGGACGCCTGGGTTCTCTCCCTGCTCTGGGAGGGAAACGTGGGCTGTGAGCCTGGAAACCTGGGTCCTGTTGCTGTTGACAGCCCAGCACCGCTCTCCTGCAGGTTTCTCCCTGGGCTCCACCATCCAGTCACACACCAAAGGCATCTGGATGTGGTGCGTGCCCCACCCGCGCCGGCCCGGCCACACACTGGTGCTGCTGGATACGGAAGGGCTGGGTGATGTGGAGAAGGTGAGCGGGACGCGGCCCCAGGGTTGCCAGGAGCGTGGTTTGGGGTCTAGCAAAGCATGCTGGGAGGGGGTGACTACGAATAGTGCAAGGGCTGGGGTGTTACATGGGGTTTCCCTCCCCTGGGCGGAGGCTCACGGGATCCTGGGCTCTGGGGATTCGGGGCTGCCTCAGTTTCCCCCAGCCCAGGTCAGACGGTGCTCGTGGGTGGGTCCCACAGGGCAACGCCAAGAACGACACGTGGATCTTCACATTGGCCGTCCTGCTCTCCAGCACCCTGGTCTACAACAGCCTGGGCGTCATTGACCAAGGTGCCATGGACCGGCTGCAGTATCTTTGGCCACAGGACTGGTTAATAACTTGCTGCTGCTGCCAGCTGGGGGGGATGTGGTGGGTCTACGGGTTGTGGGGGTTTGTCTCCATTTCAGGGGTGCTAGCATCCACATTTCCTTAGCTGGCCCCAGCTATGTGACGGAGCTGACGGAGCACATCCAGGCCAAGGCAGCGTCTGGGGCTGGCCTGGCAGCAGCGGGGGACGGGGCCGACTTTGTGCGCTTCTTCCCAGCCTTCGTGTGGGCCGTGCGGGACTTCACACTGCAGCTGCGGCTGGACGGGCGGGACATCACGGCAGACGAGTACCTGGAGCACGCGCTGAGGCTGAAGCCAGGTGCGGCCTAAGGCCGTGGTGCAGGAGTGAGGCCTGGGGACCCCAGAGCTGTCCATGTCTTCAGCTGGCGCCTCTTCTCACCTCGCCCCCAGGTGATGACCAGTGCGCCCAGACCTACAACCTGCCACGGCTATGCCTGCACCACTTCTTCCCCACTCGCAAGTGCTTTGTGTTTGAGCAGCCAGCCCACGGGGAGTACCTGCACCGGCTGGAGGAGCTGCACGATGACCAGCTGGACCCTGGCTTCCGCAAGCAGGCAGCCCACTTCTGCGCATACATCTGGGCCACGGCACAGACCAAGGCCTTGCCGGGTGGCCATGTAGTGACAGGAAAGTGTGAGTACCCTGCGGGCAGTGCTGGAAGCAGCAGGGATGTCTGTGCCCAATGCTGGGGGAGCGGTTCAAGGAGAGGCCCTAGAAACCCCAAGGAGCTCGGGGAGGCATTGTGAGCAGATGGGGCTGAGCACATGTAGCCCAGGGCAGACAGGAAGCAGAGCCAGGGTGGAGCAGACTCCTCTGGGACAGCTCTCCCATGTGCCTGGACCAGTTTTGGGGCAAAGGGGTTCCTCCGGGATGTCTCTGATGTCCTGGAGAAAGTCTGGGGACCCACCTCTGAGCCATGCCCTCCACAGTGCTGGGGGACCTGGTGGTGACCTATGTGGATGCCATCTGCAGTGGGGCGGTGCCCTGCCTGGAGAATGCTGTGCTGGCCCTGGCGCAGGTGGAGAACTCAGTGGCAGTGGAGGAGGCCATGGCCCGGTACCGGACAGCACTTGGGCCATGGTCAGTGCTGCCCACAGAGACGTTGTCGGAGCTGCTAGCGCTACATGCACAGGCTGAGCACGATGCCCTGGAGGTGTTCATGGCGCGCGCCTTCAAGGACGAGGATCATCTCTTCCAGCGCAGCCTCAAGGTAGTGTGTGGGTCCAGCCCCAGTTTGGCTCTTTGCTGGGTTGGGGGGGAGTACAGCTCCAACAGCCATGTCCCTGCAGGAGCAGCTGGATGTGGAGCTGAGCAAGCTGTGCGCCGCCAACAAGCAGGCATCCCATGACCGGTGCCAAGCTGTGCTGCTGGAGCTCTCCGGGGACCTGGAAGCCCACATTGGCAGTGGCACCTACGCAGTGCCTGGTGGCTACCAGCGCTACCTGGATGAGCGTCAGCGAGTGGTGGAGCAGTACCAGGAGGTGTCACGCAAGGGGCTCATGGTGAGTGTGGTCAGGGGCCTGGGGTCCCGGATGTTTGGGCTCACTCCAGTTCTGTCCATGCCCTCCCAGGACAGGTGACATCCCTGGTGCAGTGGTTGGGGGCTGGGTGCGGCCGTGGCAGTGGTTCACCATGGACTGTGCCGTGCAGGCCGTGAGCGCCCTGCAGGAGTTCCTGCGGTCCCAGGATGCTGTGGCTGACACCATCCGGGAGGCAGACCAGAGCCTCAGTGAGCACGACAAGGAGCTTGCAGGTGAGACCCCACCCCAGCACCCCAGGTCACACCCCCCACCCGCTCTGACACAGCACATGGTGCCCCCCAGGGCAGCAGGCGCGGACAGAGGCGGCGGAGCACGAGGCGGCGGCACGGCGGATGGCACAGGAGGCGGCCGAGCAGAGGCGGCAGGAGGCCAAGCGCAGCCAGGCTCACAGGAGGGGGCAGAGCAGAGGCGGCAGGAGGCCAAGCGCAGCCAGGCTGAGCACGTGCAGCAGCTGGAGGCCCGGCTGGAGACTGAGCGCCAGCAGCTGCTGGCTGAGCACCAGCAGGCGCTGGACCACAAGCTGAAGGTACCAGGGGCTGGGTAGTGCCCAGACGCCTGGGTTTTCTCCCAGCTCAGAGAGCTGGGCACCCAGATGCCTGAGTCCCGCTGACTCTCTGCCCCCACCCAGGAGCAGGAACGGCTGTTGCACCAAGGCTTCCAGCACCAGGCTGAGCAGCTGCGGGCTGAGATCCGGGGCCTGCAGAGGCAGATAAGCCAGTCCCGACGCCAAACCTGCGTGCTCTTCTGAGGGGCTGCCCAGGCGCACATGTTTTGGACCCGCTGCCCCTCCCAGGAGAGGGGGGCACACCCCGGCTGGACTCGCTCCCTCTGCCCCTGGACTCGCTCCCTCTGCCCCTGGAGTTGCTCCCTCTGCCCCTGGAGGGCCCAGAGGCCTGGGGGGGCTGGATTCAGTGGGGCCCCGTGCCACTGTTAGGGTCCCTTTGTCCTGCTGCAATAAAGAATGCTTTGGAAATGCCCCAGTCTCCTCTGCCTTGTGGGGGGCACTGGGGACAGCCGGGGGCACTGTGGGGAGGGGATCCTCGAGGCGATGTCTGTGGGACTGGGGCTCTGCAGGGTGGGCAGCCTTGGGGACTTGCATGTGACACAGATATGGGGGCAGGCATGTGAGACCCCTTGCGTGGGTGGCAGGTCAGGGTGGGCACGTTGGCGTAAGCGTCTGGGATGTGCTGGTGTTGGTGCACCTGTGTGGGCACTCATGCGAGAGCTGGGGTGATGGCATGTATGAGATGAGCTGAACTGGACCATCACGTGTCACATGCCTGCACGGGTGTGTTGTCAACACGCCAAAGTAGCAGCAGTCGTGTGACAACTGTGCGTGAGTGTGTAAAGCCATGTTCAGGCGAGGGACAAGCCACACTGTGGGTGACAGCTGCACATAGCAGGGCATGTGTGAGACCATGCGAGCTGGGTTGCGGATGCTTGTGACATAACCCTGCCCGTGTGTGTGTGTGGTGTGTGTGTGTGTGTGTATGTGTGTGCGCGCGCGCATGTGCCAGATTCCCTCTGACCCGCCCTGGCTCCAGCTTTTGCTTTCGCTTTCCAACTGAGGCGTCCATCCTGGCTCTTGCAGTGCTGCCGGGCTGCCGGGCAGAGGCATGGATGCACAGCACAGTAACGAGACAGGTAGCCCACGCATCTGTGCCCCAGGGGCAAGTAAGAGCCGGACGCCCACATCTGCTCCGGTGCCTGGGGTACAAGCACCTGTAAACTGGCGGATCCCAGTCCTGGCGCAGGCAGGGCTAGTCCGGGAGATGGGGTGGGGGCTGAGTCCTAATCCCCTGGGCTTCTTAATCTGGACATCCCTCGAGCCCTTTCCTGTACCTCTGACCCCTTGAGCCCCTGTGACCCTCAGCCTGGCCCCCAAACCCTCACGGCTGCACCCCAGAGCCTGACACTTCCCTTCTCACCCCTGCCCAGCTCCAGTAGCCCTTCCGCAGGCCGCCCACCCCACAGCGATGGCGTTGCAGACCCCCATGCCAGCCCCCATCTGCCTGATCGAGAACAGCCCTGCAGGGGGGCTGCAGGTGAACCGGGAGGCGCTGGCGCAGCTGCAGGCCGGGAGCCAGCCTGTGGTGGTGGTGGCCATCGTGGGGCTGTACCGCACCGGCAAGTCCTATCTCATGAACCAGCTAGCCAGCAGAAGGACAGGTGAGTGCCCGGACACCTGGGTTGCACACCCAGCCTGGGGAGGGGAGTTGGGGGCTGGGGGTTGCAGCAGGGTGGAGCTGGGGGCTCCGGATGCCTGGGTCCTGTTGCTGTCGACAGCCCCAGCGCCACTCTCCTGCAGGCTTCTCCCTGGGCTCCACCATCCAGTCACACACCAAAGGCATCTGGATGTGGTGCGTGCCCCACCCGCGCCGGCCCGGCCACACGCTGGTGCTGCTGGACACCGAGGGGCTGGGCGATGTGGAGAAGGTGAGTGGGGCAGAGCCCAGTGGGGCTGCTGCAAGCATGGTCTGGGGTCTGGTAAGGGATGCTGGGAAGGGGCGGCTATGAAGGAGCAGTAGCACGGGGCCTGAGGTGTCACCTAGGGTCTCTCTCCAGGGAGCCCCCTAGGCGGAGGCTCACAGGGCTCCGGGTGCTGGGGATTTGGGGCTGCCTCAGTTTTCCCCAGCACAGATTTGACAGGGTTCGTGGGTGGGTCCCACAGGGCGATGCCAAGAATGACACGTGGATCTTCGCTCTGGCCGTGCTGCTCTCCAGCACCCTGGTCTACAACAGCCTGGGCATGATCGATCAGTGTGCCATGGAGCAGCTGCAGTATCCTTGACCCCAGGGCTGGGTAACAACCTGCTGGTGCTGCCAGCTGGGGGAGAAGTGGCAGGTCCATGGGCCGTGGGCTTATCTCCATTTCAGGGATGCCGGTGTCCGTGCTTCCTTAGCCGGCCCCAGCTACGTGACGGAGCTGACGGAGCACATCCAGGCCAAGGCGGCGCCTGGGGCCAGCCCAGCGGCAGGGGAGGACGGAGCCCAGTTTGTGCGCTTCTTCCCAGCCTTCGTGTGGGCCGTGCGGGACTTCACACTGCAGCTGCGGCTGGACGGGCGGGACATCACGGCGGACGAGTACCTGGAGCACGCGCTGAGGCTGAAGCCAGGTGGGTGCCGGGGGAGGCTGCACTGGGGTGAAAACATCCTCCCCTGATACCTAGGGCTGGCCTGGGGCAGGGGAGCTGTTTTCTGGGGTCTGCCGCAGCCCCAGAGCAGCCATGTCTCCCCTCTTGCTGACGTGTCACCCCAGGAAGTGGCCAGGTGGCCCAGACCTACAACCTGCCACGGCAATGCCTGCGCCGCTTCTTCCCCACTCGCAAGTGCTTCGTGTTTGAGCAGCCAGCCCACAGGGAGTACCTGCACCGGCTGGAGGAGCTGCACGATGACCAGCTGGACCCTGGCTTCCGCGAGCAGGTGGCCCGCTTCTGCGCACACATCTGGGCCACGGCGCAGACCAAGGCCCTGCCAGGCGGCCACGTAGTGACAGGGAAGCGTGAGTGTCTTTGCGGGATGGGGTCAGCCCGGCCCAGCCTGGGCAAGCTGTGGGAGGGCTGTGCCCAGCACAGGGGGAGCGGGTGGACAAACGGCCCCAGAAAGCACTGGGGGACTCGGGGAGACATTATGAGCCTGGGCAAGGCTGCATGCACATGGCCCAGGGCAGACAGGAAGGGACCCGACCCTGTGGAGTCCCCCTGCCCCAGGAAGCAGTACCAGGGTGGGGCTGACTCCCCCGGGACAGCTCTGCCGTGTGGCCGTGGCAGTCCTGGGGCAAAGAGCTTCCTCTGGGACGTCTCTGCCAACTCTGGTGGCCACGCAGGGAGGGCAGAGGCCCCGATACTGGCCCCAGTGTCCATCCTGGATGAGGTCTGGGAAGCCGCCTCTGAGCCGTGCCACCCACAGTGCTGGGGGACCTGGTGGTGACCTACGTGGACGCCATCCGCAGCGGGGCGGTGCCCTGCCTGGAGAGTGCCATGCTAGCCCTGGCGCAGGTGGAGAACTCGGCAGCAGTGGAGGCAGCCATGGCCCGCTACTCGGCGGCACTGGGGCCGGAGCTGGCGCTGCCCACAGAGACGCTGTCGGAGCTGCTGGCGCTGCACGCGCAGGCTGAGCGCGAGGCCTTGCGGGTATTCATGGCACGCACCTTCAAGGACGACACGCGCCAGTTCCAGAGCGAGCTCATGGTATGTCTCGTGGCCCCGGGGGCATCACTACCCTGGCCCAGCCCCGCTGCTGGGACATGCCCCTCACGCCTGTCCCGCACGTCCGTCTATCCCACAGTGCCGGCTGGAGGAGCGGAAGGAGGAACTCTGCCAGCGCAACGAGCGGGCATCCTTGGAGCACTGCCAGGCTGCACTCGCAGAGGTTTCACGGGACCTGGATGCCTGCATCCGGGACGGGTTTTATGTGGTGCCTGGTGGCTATCAGCGCTTCCTTGGTGACCGGCAGGAGATGGTGGAGCGCTACCGGCAGATGCCAGGCAAGGGGATAAAGGTAGGACCCAGCTGAGCCCCCTGTTTTGCCAGGGCCTTCCCAGGGATCCCAAACCTGTCCTGGGTACCCACTGCCCTCGTGCCTGGGAATGATGTGAGCAGGTGGGCGGACACTTGGGCAGTGGCTGGATCCAAAGGGGAAGGCCCCTGGCCTGCCCAACACTCACTGGATAACGCCCCGGCCTGTTGCCCCTCGCCCAGGCTGACGCAGCCCTGCAGGACTTCCTCACCTCCAGGGAGCCGATGGCCCAGGCCATCCTGCATGCTGACAAGGCCCTGACGGAGACAGAGAAGGAGGTGGAAGGTGCATGGGGCAGAGGCACTGCATAAGACAATGCCAAGGGGCAGGGACTGGATGGGATGCAATGCCAGGGGCAGCAGGTGCAATAATGCAGCCTCCACACCACCCCCAGCGCAGCGCATCCGGGCAGATGCCATGGAGCGGGAGCAGAAGCTGCTGCAGCAGGAGCAGGCTGAGGTGCAGCAGAAGCTGGAGGAGCAGAGGCGCAGCCATGAGGAGCACGTGCGGCAGCTGGAGGAGACACTGCAGCGGGAGCAGAAGGCACTGCTGGAGGAGCTGGACCGGACGGTGGCACAGAAGCTGCAGGTACGAGGGCAGGAGGGCATCCACGCAGTGCCCCAGGGCTGGATGGGGGCTGACATGCATGTCCCTGCAGGAGCAGGAGGCGCTGCTGTGTGAGGGCTTCCGGAAGGAGTCAGCCCGCATGGGGGAAGAGCTGCGCCAGCTGAGGGAGGAGAGCGCTGCCGTAAGCCAGCCATCCTGGATCAGTGCTGCGCTGGCCCTGCTGGGTGATGTGGCCTCCCTCATGTTCCCATGCTTTATGGGCAAGATCATGGGCTGGGGCACCCAGCTCCTCGGGCGGTTCTTATAAGGGCAGCGGGGAGTCATACTGCCTGGCATGGGGGCTGCTTCGTCCCTGCTGCCACTGTGCAGGCTGGGGTGTGGGAGGGGGCAGGATGCCAGGCTAGATGGGCCTGGGGCAAAGGGGTTCCTCCGGGACCCCAGGAATGGGGAATGAGTGTAGGGGGAATGGGGAGCCCAGACGAGAGTCTGCCCCAAGCCAAGCCTCGGCCCCCTGCTCCACACCCACAGGGCAGTGTCTGCCCCGGGACACGTGTGGGTGGAGGGGGCTGAGCTTGGCACCAGCTGCAACAGCATTGCTTCCAATAAGTGCAACAGCAATACTTCCAATAAACCCTTTACTGAATCCTGCTGGTCCTGTGTGATGCTGAGCACCTGCTGGGAACAGCTGAGGAATGAGATGCCCAGAGCCTCAGCCCTGCGCAGGGTGAGGGTCAGTTGCTTGGGGTCCCCGTGCGAGTACATACAGTCCCCCAGCTTGCCCTGCCCTGGGCTGATGCGTGCACATGTATTGCCTTGTGAACCCTGCTGGTTTCCTGGAATCAGCTGCTTGGCAGGAAGGGCGGTGGCGCGGCCCCCACCTCCCCCGGCCTGCTCACTGTACCGTGCTTGGCTCAGTCTCAGCCCCAGGGCCCCACTGCCAGGATCCTGTTTGGAGACACTGGCTGCCAGTTCCAGCCCCTTCCTGTTCCCGCAGGCCCACAGAAGGGCAGCTCCGAGCAAGGGGAGCCGCAGGGCATGGATCTGGGGGTTGGGTGCGAATCCAGGTGTCGAGCTCCCAGTGCCTAGCTCTACCCCCCAGAACCCCTCTGGCTCCAGCGTTTGGTGTCCTGCTTCCCATGCTTTGGTGCAACCTGCACCGGCTGGAGGAGCTGCACGACGACCAGCTGGAGCCTGGCTTCTGTGAGCAGGCGGCCCACTTCTGCACACACATCTGAGGCACAGCTCAGACCAAGGCTTTGCCAGGCGGCCACCTTCTAACAGGAAAGCATGAGTGCCCTGGGGACAGTGGCGGGTCTGTGCCCAGTGCTGGGTGAGTGGGTTGAGAGGCCCTGGAAACCCTGGGGGGTTCAGGGTGGCATCATGAGCAGACCAGGTTGAGCGCATGCAGCCCAGGGAAGAAGGGAAGCAGCACCAGAGCGGAGCAGATTCTCCCAGGACAGCTCTTCTGTGTGGCTGCAACTGTCCCGGGGCAAAGGGGTAACTCCAGGATGTCTCTGCCAACTTGGGTGCACACATGTGGAGGGCAGAGGCCCTGGTACCAGCCCCGCATCCATCCTGGAGGGGGTCCGGGAACCCGCCTCTGAGCCGTGCTGTCCTCAGTGCTGGGGGACCTGGTAGTGACCTACGTAGACACTATCCACAGCGGAGCAATACCCCACTTGGAAAGCGCCGTGCTGGCCCTGGCGCAGGTGGAGAATTCAGCAGTGGTGGAAGAGGCCCTGGCCTGGTGCATGGCGGTGCTGAGGCCACGGTCAGCACTGCCCACAGAGGCACTGCTGGAGCTGCTGGCGCTGCATGCAGAGGCCAAGTGTGAGGCCTTGCAGGTGTTCATGGCACACACCTTCTGTGACAAGGTCCACCTCAAGGTCCTGTGCGGGGCAGCCCGAGTTTGGGTTGCATCCTGGGTGGGGGTGGGAGTGCAGCTCCACCAGCTCCAACCTACTGTGTCCCTGCAGGACCCGCTGGACATGGAGCTGAGTGCATCGCCAATAAGCAGGAGTCCTGGGACCGGTGCCAGGCTGCGCTGCAGGAGCTGTCCAGGGACCTGGATGCCCACATCCACAGCAGCACGTATGCAGTGTCCTGTGGCTACCTGGATGAGTGCCAGCAGGTCATGGGGCAGTACTGGAAGATACCAAGCAAGGGGCTCATGGTGACTACAGCAGAGGGATGGCTGGAGCAGGCTGGGGGCCTGGACATCTGGATTCTGTCCAGCCCTGGGAGGGGGTTGGGAGCTGGGGGCCCGGACACCTAGGTTGTCTCCAGCTCTGGCTCTGTGCGTACCTTCCTGGGGCTGGTGACATCCCTGGCGTGGTGTGTTACCAGATTTGCCCGTTATTTTGGGGTGTGCTCATTTAAGGGATACGTTTCTAGGGTCTTGGTAATTCTGTCAATGTGCTGCTTGTGTACTGGTGTTTCTATACGGCGCTGTATCTCTCCCTTCTGCAAGCCCTCACCCAATTAACGTGACACGCCTGACCTGGCCGGGCTGATCAGCATGGACAGGCTGACACCCTCATATGCCAAGAATCAGTTCATAAGAGCAACAATAAAATGCAGTCAGACACAAGCACACAGGTAAACAGAATCCCTCTGAATCCGGCTGGGTGTCCAGCTGACACCCTCATGGGCCAGCATTCAGTTCATAAGGGCACGTCTGAGTCAAACTGGGTCAATCAGCCTGTACAAGCTGATCCCCTTATGTGTTTCAAACTCAGCACGTCCCAATCTTTGGCCTCTTGATGAGCAGACCCCACAATAATTTGGGCTTCACAGGGATCTTTAGCATAGGTAAAAGAAGCGTTGCTGCAGAGCACGGGAGGAAAGAGAAGCAGAGAAGGAAAAATATACCCAATTACTACCAGTTTGACTATAAAAGTTATTTATTGCTAAGCATATGAAATATATAATAGTACTAGTAGTAATAGACATGCAAAAGAAAAACAAACACCAACAATGACAATACTACCCTGGTTTCACTAAGTATTTGGGGAAACTTAGCTCAAGCTTAACTGATACAGTTCAGGTTCAGAAGTTTATGCCTAGAAAGAAGACAGAGAACGCTGGGATCTCACCTAGTCCACGGTACTCAGGCTGCAAAGCTGACAGGCACAGTCTGTAGCACAGTCCTTGAAGGGAGAGATGATCTGTTCTTCCAGCGTCCCAAGAACGACAGGGGATGGTGTCAGCACAGGGGTTTTCTTCTTCTCCTTCTTTCCTCCTGCTTCTTCTTCTTCTCTTTTCTTCTTGCAGCACACACACTTACAGATTTTTATACCCTCAGTTCAGCTGCTCCGTAGCACCCTCAGTAGTGTAAATCATTGTCTTTTCTATTGACAAGGGGTTATCTGGTTTGGACCATCTCAGGAAACTGATTGATAATCAGGAAACACTTAAGATTAGGGAGTAACCCAAATACTTGGGAGCCAGCTTGAGATTCCTATGGGTGGCAGATATACTGATGGGATATCTCATGGTTTCTTCAGGAACAATAGATAGCTTGCAGCATCAGGATTTTGGATTTTTACTTGTTGTGCACAAGCCTCAGCTTAGCATGACTTTTCCAGATCTTACTATAGTCTTTTAACAGACTTAAAGCAATTATTGGGGTGCTCATAACCTTTTGTGGAGAGGACTCCCACCAGTCGTCTCGGGAAAGATATGACAACACCTGGGATTAGGGCTCCAGCAGGCTGGATGCTGTGATGAACCCTAAACCATTGTTCAAATGTTGCCATACCCCCTCTGACTCGGTCTCTTGCCTCAGCATTCCCTAACCCGGCAACCGAGTTTTAGTCAATCAAGTTTAAATAGGCCTCCCATAGTGGGACGGGGGAATGTACGGCCCGAGATGCCTATTAAACTTAGAGGTGTGTGTGTGTGTTGGGGGGGAAGACCTTTGTAAATCCAGAATAGAACTGGTCTGATAAATGCTGAGCTGGGTGTGTGTGAACATGGGTTGATTAACATTGGAAGCACAGATTCCCCATCATGCTGCGCTCTCCTGCTTCTCTGGTCCCAGAATTCACTGCAGTCTCTGCTTCAGGCTTTCTGTTCTCCATCTCTCATGTAAATGAATGGTCATCTGGTTCCATCTCGGATGCAAATGAGACTAGGGCAGTTGTTCACTCTTGTCACCCTGATCGGGAGGGTTTTAGGTGCGTCTCTCACTGCATCTTAATCAGTTTCGTTCAGGCGTGGGGGGGGGGGGGGGGAGTCCTTTGTGAGTCAGACAGACTGCATCCTGTGCCCCAAGAACACAGAGCTGAGACGTAACAGGTGGTTGGGGCTGGGCACAGCTGTGGCTCACCATGGGCCATGCCGTGCAGGCGGTGAGCGTCCTGAAGAAGTTCCTGCAGTCCCAGGATGCCGTGGCCAACACCATCCTGCAGGCGGATCATAGCCTCAGCGAGCGCGACAAGGAGCTTTCAAGTGAAACCGCACCTGGCACCCCCGCCCCACCCGCTCCACACCCCAGCCTGGCCCTGACACAGCACCCGGTGCCCCCCAGAGCAGCGGGCACGGGCGGAGGCAGCGGAGTGCGAGGCGGCAGCGTAGCGGGCAGCACAGGAGGTGGCCAAGCAGAGCGGCAGGAGGCTGAGCACAGCCATGAGGAGCACATGCGGCATCTGAAGGCTCAGCTCGAGGCCGAGCACCAGCAGCTGCTGGACGAGCACTGGCAGGTGCTGGACCACAAGCTGCGGGTACTGGGGGCTGGGTGAAGCCCGGATGCCTGGGTTCTCTCCTGGCTCGGGGAGCTGGGTTCCCAGATGCCCGGGTCTGGCTGACTCTGCCCCCACCCAACAGCAGCAGTTGCTGATGCAGCAGGGCTTCCAGCACCAGGTCGAGCTGCTGCAGAACAAGATCCGGGGCCTGCGGAGACAGAGCGGGGCTGTGCTGCTGTCGGGATCCCGCTGCCCTGCTGCAATAAAGAATGCTCTGCAGATGCCCCAGTCTCCTTTGCCTTGTGGGGGGCCTGGGGACTGCTGGGGGCACTGTGGGGAGGGGTCCTGTGGGCAATGTCTGTGGGGCTGGGGCTCTGGCGGGTGGGTGGCCTTGGGGATGTGTGTAACACAGGCATATGCATGTGTGTGACACACAGGTATGGGAGGTTGCGTGTGAGACCCTCTGTGTGGGTGGCAGGACAGGGTGGGCATTGGTGTGAGCATCTTAAGACGTGTTGTGGGCGTTGGTGCGCCTGAGTGGGTGTGCGTGCGAGAGCTGGGGTGATGGCATGTATGGAACGAGCTGAACTGGGCCTCCACGTGTCACATGTCTGCACATGTGTGTTGTCAACACGCCAAAGTGGCAGCAGCCGTGCGACAACTGCATGTGTGTGTGAAACCTGCATGTTCAGGCGTAGAACCAGCCACACTGCCGGCAATAGCTGAATGTAGCGAGGCATGTATGAGACCACGCGACTCGTGTTGTGGATGGCTGTGACAACCCTGCCCATGTGTGTGCACGTGTGTGTGCGTGTGTGTGTGAGATTCCCTCACCCCCCCCTTGGAGCCCCACCCAACCTGGGCTTCGCATTGGCTCTGGCTTTTGCCTTGTTTTCCATCCAAGACTGCCCTCCTGGCTCTGGCAGCACCGGCCAGCCGGACACAGGGCACAGGGCAAAGTAACGGGCCCTGGGGCCAGCTGGCAGTGTGGTCTGGGGTCTGGCAAAGCATGCTGGGAAAGGGCAGAGTGCTTAAGGGGCTGGCCAGAGGTGTCAGATGCCAGGTGGGCAAGGCAGGTTGGGGCTGGCTCCTCCATCTCCAGGTTCTCGCTCCTGTGAGGGCCGGAGCGCAGGACACCTGGGTTCCAGCCTCAGTCAGCTGAGATGTGCAGAGTCCCTCCCCGTGCCTCAGTTTCCCCACGGTGCGGCTCGTACTCCTGGCCTCCTGGAGCAGCGCTGGGCAGGTGGAAGCTGGGAACCGTCCCACAGGGCGATGCCAGAAATGACATGTGAATCTTCACATTGGCGATGCTGCTCTCCAGCACCCTGGTCTACAGCAGCCTGGGCATCACTGACCAGTGCCCTGACCAGCTGCAGTATCCTTGGCCCCGGGACTGGTTAATAACCCACTGCTGCTGCCAGCTCGGGGGAGGTGGTGGGTCCCTGGGCCATGGGGCCCATACCCATCTCAGGGACACCAGTGTCCATGTTTCCTTAGGAGCTGACGGAGCACATCCAGGCCAAGGCAGTGCCTGGGGCTGGCCAGGGCCAAGTTCATGCACTTCTTCCTGGCCTTCGTGTGGGCCGTGCGGGACTTCACACTGCAGTTGCAGCTGGACGGGCGGGACATCACGGCAGACGAGTACCTGGAGCACGTGCTGAGGCTGAGGCTGAGGCCAGGTGGGTGCCAGGGGAGGCTGCACCGGGGTGAAGGTATCCTCCCAAGGTACGTAGGGCTGGCCTGGGGCAGGGAGGCTGTTTTCTGGGGCCTGCCGCGCCCCTGGAGCAGTCACCTCTCCCCTCTCACTGGTGGCTGGGGGGCCCGCGGCGGTACACTGCTTCTTCCCCACCAGCAAGTGCTTCGTGTTCAAGCAGCCGGCCCGCGGGCAGGACCTGCCTCGGCTGGAGGAGACACAGGACTTCCCGGCCAGGCCATCCTGTGCACTGAGGAGGCGGAGAAGGAGGTGGAAGGTGCATGGGGGCAGAGACACTGTGTGAAGTGACACCAAGTGTGGGTGGCAGGGGCTGAGCTTTGGCCACAGCTGTGACAGCGCCACTTTGCCGAATTGCATTAGTCCCACATGATGCTGAGCACCTGCCTGGCCCCATCCCCCCACGCCCGAGGGCTGCTTGTACAAGGTCCCTGTGCCAGAACACGCTCGTGCTCCTGCAGTTTCCTGGCCCGCCCTGCCCCAGGCTGATGCATGCACACTTAATGCAGGCTGAGCTCTGCTGATTTCCCAAAATTGGCTGCTTTACAGGAAGGGCAGTAGCACGCCCTGCACCTTGTGCCTCCTGGCTGCCTTCCAGCCCCCTCTGACCTGCCTGCCCTGAGACGCTGACTGAGACGGGATGAGCCTGGAGCTCAAGCTCGGGGGACAGGTCTCAGCCCAAGGCAGAGCTTGCCAGGCCAGGAAGGGAGGCCAGGAGGGGTCCCGTGTGAGGGAGGCCAAATCGCCCTCTGCTTCTTTCCCTTGCACTTTTGCGAGCTGGAGTCCTGCCTCCTGGAGGCAGCAACACTGAGCACTGTGCTGCAGCACGGGCTTCGGACACCAGTGAGTGACTCTCCCCATCCAAGCCCTCAGCCTTGACCCTGGTGGCAGGTATGGGGGTCCTGTCCTGGGGGGCACAAACCTGCCCTGCCGCGGCCTGGTTAAAAGCAAAGAGGACTCCTGGCTCCCAGCCCCTCTCCTCTCGGAGCCAGGGTAGGACCCAGGAGTCCTGGCTCCCAGCCCCATCTGCTCGATCCACTTCCATTCATTTCATAAAGGAGGGGTGCCCCGAGGATTTTGGGGACTGACTGAGGGACCCGGTGCTCTGGACAGGCCTGTGGGACCTGCGCAGGACAGTAGCTTTGCTGTCATCCAGCTTTCGGCAATGGCCTCGAACATACCCATGGAGCAGCCCCTGTGCTCGGTGGGGAATGACACCGGCGGGGAGCTAACGGCGAACCTGAATGCCCTGGAGAGCCTACGTGGCATCACCCAGCCCGTGGTGGTGGTGACCATCGCCGGGCTGTACCGCACTGGCAAGTCCTACCTCATGAACCAGCTGGCCGGAAAGAGGACAGGTAAGATGGCGGCTACGTGGTCTCCTGTCCCAACAGCCCCCCAGGGAGATGTCCGGTCCCCTGGTACATCCTTCATCCACTCCCAGCTGTCCTGTGGGTTTGTGTCCACACCTCTGGGAAGGGCTTGAATCTAGTGCTCAGGGCAGAGAGGACTGACACTCTGGACACCTGGGTTGTGTCCCCAGTCCAGGAAGGAGAGTGGGGGGTAGCGAGTTAGAGCCGGGTGTGGGGGAGCCAGGACTCCCGGGTTTACTGCTCTGTGTGTGCAACTCCTGCATCCCTCTGCCTGCAGGCTTCTCCCTGGGCTCCACGGTGCAGTCGCACACCAAGGGCATCTGGATGTGGTGCATGCCCCACCCCGCCGGTGTGACCTTGTCCTGGTGCTGCTGGATACGGAGGGGCTGGGCGACGTGGAGAAGGTGGGCGAGAGAGCTGGACAAGGTCTTGCGGTGTCCTTGGGTGACTCTGCTCCTCCCAGCACTTTGGTGGGGTGGAACGGCATGTGCTAGAGCCCCACTGGCATGCCAGGGGTTGGTGCTGGGGGGGAGGGGGAGTTCTCCAACCTGTCTTGTCCTCAGCAGACAAAACCATTGGTGACTTTTGCCATCCCTCCACTTGGCTGAGCCACCCCTGGTGCCTTATCCTCCCTCCCCAGGGTAACACAAAGAATGATTGCTGGATCTTCGCACTGGCCGTGCTTCTCAACAGCCTGTTGGTCTACAACAGCAAAGGCACCATCGACCAGTATGCCATGGAGCAGCTCCAGTATCCTTTCCATGCAGGGGAGCTTTGCAGGGGTGTGGAGCTGGGCCCCCCAGCCTGTCCCTATCAGTTGCGTTAGACTCCTTAGCTGCACCTGCCGACCAGCTTCATGTCCGAGCTGATGGACCACATCAAGGTCAAGGCCCAGGAAGGGGATGGTGAGGGTGATGACACAGAGTTCATCCGCTTCTTTCCTGGCTTCATCTGGGCTGTGCAGGAATTCACCCTGCAGCTGATAATCAACGGGCAGCCGGTGACAGAGGATCAGTACTTGGAGAATGCGCTCGCCCTGAAGCCCGGTAAGAGGGAGGCGGCTGATGGGTAACTCTGTAGGGTGGGTCCCCTGGGCCCTGTTCACCTGCCATCGTTGGTCAGAGATGGATACAGGGAAGGGGAAGATGTGGAAAGGTCGAGAGACTGGTGTGAGCAGAGCTGTTCTGACAACCTCAGCACCTATGAAACTTCATTGGCTGTTTCCAAAACTGAACTCTGTTAGCATCGAGCCAGACCTTGGTGTGAGCTGTGCCCAGGCGCCAGTTTGTGACGCCCTGTGACTGGCATGTCTAAAGGGCTGTGCTAACAACCCTCAGCAGGTACCACCAGACTTTCAGTAACTCTGCTTCTCTCTGGACCCACAGGCAACAGCAAGAGGGTGATGGAGTACAACCTGCCACACCAGTGCCTCTGCAGCTTCTTCCCAACCTGCAAGTGCTTTGTCTTTGTCCAGACAGTCCCCGCAAAGGATATCAGTCAACTTGAGTTGCTGCCTGAGAGCACCCTGGACCCACAGTTCCTGGTACAGCCCCGCCACTTCTGCAACTACGTCTTCCAAGAAGCCAAGGCCAAGACAGTCAAAGGAGGGCACTGTGTCAATGGGCGAAGTACATCTACCACACGGCCGCTCTTACAGAAAGACATCAATGTCCATGCATGCTGTTTTGCTGTCTGGGCTGTGGCGCATCCTCCAAGGGGAGGATTGGTTTGAGCTGGTTGTGGAAGGTGCGGGGGGGGGCTCCACAGCCACTCTGCAGAGAGATCCCCAGGGGCAACCAGTCTTCAAGCTCTCGGCTGCTCTGTCCTTGAGCTTTGAGTCTGGTGGTCTCTGGGCTACTCTGATTTAGGTGCAGCTTCCCTGGTCTCTGTCCTGTAGGAACAGGATGGAGGAGACTCCCTCTCACTTGCAGAGCGTTTTGCCATCTGTGACTACAAGGAGGCCTAGAAATCTCCCACCAGATCCTAACCGCTTTTCATGGGGTGGTATCGCTCCCTGAAAGATCTTTACTCCTCCTCCTACTCCCAGTGTTCAGCTCCTTAGTCCAAAACTACGTGAAGCCCATCCGCAGTGGGAAGGTGCCCTGCATTGACAATACCGTCATTGCCTTGGCTGCCATAGAGAACGAGGCTGCCATCAAGGCAGCCCTGGCTCATTATGTGGCTGAGATGAGGAAGCTGCAGTTGCCAGTGGAGCTGGACAAGTTGTTGGAGGCTCATGGGAAGTGTGAAGAGGGAGCCCTGAAGCTTTTCATGGAGCACTCCTTCAGGGACAGCGAGCAGCAATACCAGAAGCAGCTTGTAGTAGGTGGGGCATTTTGGTGTGGGTCTGCACTCCCATAGCCTGTCTGTACAGAGTCCAGCCTTGGAGACTACAGCTAGTCTTCATTTGCTGGGGGATGGTGTCTTGAGGCCTCGCTGAGCACAGATGTAGGACAGAAACTGCTGCATCCTTAAGAGCTCAGGCCAACAGCCTTTATCTTGTCAGTGGCTCACTGGATCCACAGTCCCTCCAGGCCAGCCCACCCGCCCAGTTAGCCAGTGACCATTCGGTGTGCCCTTCTTCCAGTTTGCCACAGAAATGTGTACAGGTCCATTCCTGCAGCAGAGGAGTCCAGAGGGGACAGAAGCCCAACCCTAGCCTTTTGTTGTGCAGGTCGGGATAGCCGAACAGCATGGAAACATCCTGGCTCAAAATGAAGATGTTTCCAAGGAGACCTGCCTGGCCCTGCTGGAGGAGCTCTCAGCCCCCATGAAGAAGAACCTCAGTGATGGAGTTTACTCACAACCTGGTGGTTACGGGGTCTACGAGGCAGACCTGAGCCAGGTGGTGGAGGGTTACTGGGGAAAACCCAGCGAAGGAGTCAAGGTGGGTGTCTGCGACCAGCTCCCTCTGTTCTGCTCCACACTGGGGCTGGTTTGTTTTAGGAGCTAACACAGCTCCTGGAGGAGGAAGCTGGAATTTACTCTGGCTTGTTGAATCCCAGCTGATTTGCCACGTACGGCCCCGTGGCCGAGTCAGATTCCCTGTCCTGTCACAGCACGCAGAGAATGGTTTGAAGTGGCACGAAGTGAAGTCTAACTAGTATATTAGTGAGAGCTCATGAATAACCAAGGATTGCTGGTTTCTTGCTCCAGGCAGAGGAGGTCCTGGATCAGTTCCTGGCCAAGATGCAGCCAGAGGCGGCGGCAGTGCTGAAGGTGGACACCAAGCTGACCGAGGCAGAGAAGCACGTTGCGGGTACGTCCCGTGAGCCATCCTCTGGTGGGTTGCTCTTTCCTTTGGTGGGTTGAGAGCAACACAAAGGTGTCTTTCACACCTCCATCTGTGGCCCATGTTGGAGGCTCCTGGCTCTCCCACCAGTCCAGGGCTTTTGTGTGTCCCCTCTAACACGCATCCCTAGATGCAGCGTGACCTGGGTCACTACCAGCACAAGATATGGAGAAGCACCTGACCTCACTCAGATGCTCATTTCCAATGTGGTTATTTAAGCGAGCAGGTGAAAAACACCTGAATGTGTTACAGTCGGTCAGCCCTGTGGGGCCATGGACTGAACTGACCTAGATATAACCTCTACTCCCAGCCTGGACCATGGCTGAAGTTCCCAAAAGCCACCAAAGTCCAACTTTCATTGGGATCTGGGGACCCAATCACTTAAATTGTTTGAGTAGAAGGGGCCAGGTCCCTTGGGTCACCTCTTTCCAGAGCAGGGAGTGGGACTGCATTTCCTCTCCCTCCACTACTTTTATCCAGATGAGAAGCAGAAAGCCGGGGTGTGGAGCAGCAGATGAAGGCAACGGAGGAGAAGAGGATGCAGATGGATGACCAAGAGGATGCTGATGAAAGACCAAGAGCGCAGCTATGAGGAGAACCTGAAACAGCTGAAAGCCAAGATGAAGGACGAGGCAGAGAGAGCTAGGAAGGAGGCCGCACAGGTCTTGGAGTGCAAGCTGAAGGAGCAAGAGGCAATACTGAGTAAGGGCTTTACTAAGCAAGCGGAGCTGATGCAGGAGGAGATTGAAGAAAGGGATGAAGTCCATAGATGTGACAGGTCTGCTCTCAGGTATCTTCACCACCATTGGGGAAGGCCTGAGAGCCATCAATGGCATCGCAAGTCTCACTAAATTCCGGCAGACGGCCCAGCCAAAACACAAGTAGCTGTGCCTCTGCTGGAAAAGGCCGGCTTCCTGCCTGCTGGCGCTTCCGGGAACAACCCCTGCCTGCAGCTTAAAGCTTCTGCTTAGCCATGCGAGCTTCAGGAAGGCGTGATCCACGAGCTGTGAAATACTGGCCCAGTGATGCAAGATCCCTAGATTCTGGCTCTGGGAGGGCAGTGGGATCTGGTGGGTTTGGCTGAGGGGGACCTCTGGTTTCTCTCTGTGGACCTGCCTCAGTGGCTGTGAGGAGGAGCTGTGTGGACCTGTGGCACCTGAAGCAGCACCTGCCAGCATTCAGTGACGTGCATGTCAGCATCTGCTTCAGCCCCTGTACCCCACATGCTGCACATGGCCTGCATCTTGTTTCACTCAGAGCCATTAAACAGCCTTGTATTGCAGCCCAGAGCACCTGCATCCCAGTGTTTGCTATCAATAAGGCAGTCGCAGCTGGTATCCTCCAGCCCCAGTGCTGGGATGACCAGGGGGCAGGACAATTTTTCTCTGTTCTCTGCCTGTGGAAGCATACCGCTGGCACCCTCCTCTCCCAGCCATCGGGTAAACTGAGTCACGTGCAGTGCTTCTTACACATGTCCCACACTCCCCACAAGTCTGCTCCAGGTGCAAGACTAAGCCCCTCTCTTCAGCCACGTTATCCTGTCCAGACATCCTCAGCGTGCCCTCCAGCTGGAGAACGCTGTTTGCTCGGTGTTGCAGGCCTGACCATTGCTGCCTAGGGGCTGAGGACACAAGGTAGAACTTTAGACTTTGCCTTAGCTCAGCCAGCGATAAACCCTGACCCCTCGATGTGCCCTGCTTGTGTCAGAGTGGTAGACAGGGCATGGGAAGCAGCTGCCTCCAGCGGTGCGCAGGAGGACTGGGGACCTTGGACTATTGTGCAATTTGCTGCAGGGGCCTGACTTCTGGGAAGCGTGTGACACCAGAGGAGAGGCACAAGAAGCATGCTCGGCCTGTGATCATATTTCAAATGGCAGGACTGGGGTTTCTGAAGGGATTTATGCTCCTTAGGAAGATAGGGGGAGGCGGAGGGGACGCTTTCCAAAGCACCAGACCATTTAACTGTGGTTGAAAACAGTGAGAGAAGCTCTGCGAAGCTGCACTCTCTGTCCGGGTGTTTAAGCCCCAAGGTGTCTCCATTATAAAATAGGCCCGTGATCACCTTTAAAGGCATATCCAAAAGTGGAGAGAGAGTCTGATGAAGAAGTACTAATCAATGGCAAATCCTCATCACAACCATTTTGGGGCTCCACTGCCACCCCCCAGCTGTTCTCCCAGAAAAGCCAGGGGAAGCAGGTAGGAAGTCCCATCCTCAGGGCTTGGGTTCTCACCTGCTCACAGTGAGATGGACACCTGAAGTTTGAGTGGGTTTCGGGTGTAACGTCAGAGGTTATGTGAGATGACAGAGGCCTGGGGCTGCCTGAGAATCTGCAGACCTGCCACGTGCAGGTGGAAATCAGTGCCTCTGGCCTCTGCTGCTTTCTGGAAACCCAGGAGCAGCTGAGGATCTGGCAGGGTTGCTAACCGAATACCAAAAGGCAGGCACGCTCCGGCAAGGGGTTGGCCACCTGCGAATGCCCTGCACTTTCCTCTTGTCCCACCACTTACCAGCATCACCTGTGCTAAGAGCTGCACTCAAGAGGAGTCTAACGGCCACAACTGGTCCTAGGCAGCCGCACTTTGTATTTTTGAGTGCCAGCTTCAGGCATCAGAGTCATGACCTGGCATATTTATACTGATTGCTATTTCATAGAGCACAAGCTTCGTATTATCTGATTGAGCTGCCACAAGCAGCTACCACTTATCCCTTACCTTATCTTGGCTATCAACTTCCCCATCTAGCATGGAGGCAGCGGAGGTGCATCTGCTAGAACTGGTTCACTGCAAACTTTGCCACAAATGGGGAGCTGCAGGCAGAAATATAATTGCCGAGATGATATCCATCAAGAGAGACTTTTCTGAGGACAGACGTTGTGCTAAACCTAATCCATCCGCCGGACTCCTCATAACTTGTACATTTCAGTTGACAAGAAAATCATGAATACTTTGACTGTCCACGAGCAGATTGGTTTCTTTTTTTCCCAGTTACAAGTTCCACCCCCCCCAACCACTATTTACTGCTCTATTTTTGGGGATCAGATCTGCAATTGGGTGGGAAGCATGAGCAATGGGGAGGGTGTGGCGGAGCACCTTTGGGGGTGTTCACCACTCGAGGGCTTTCACAGGCTCTGAGGGGAGCCTGCTTTGGTGGAGCAGCAGGGGAAACCTCCCCCAGGAACTATATTGAGGGGGGAGGTGTGTGGCAGGGCACTGTGGGTGCTGCCACTTTAAGAGCAGAGCCAAGCAGCCAGCAGGTGCGTGATTGCAGCAGCCATTTTAGACTCTGGGCTGCCTATATAAATGGGGTAGTTCGCTGCTGGCAGGTGAGGCAGAAACATCACCTGGCTGCAAGTCTGCATACAATGTCCTGGAGGGAAGGGCAGGAGCTGTAGGGGATGGTTTGGAGGCTCCTAGTCCTGGGCATGACCTAACACTGCACCCTGCCAGGAGTGGGTGGTCTGGTGGGGCTCGGTGGAGTGGGAGCCCCCAGGAAATACCAGGCCAGTTACCATTCTGGTGAAAGGCAGGTTGGGGCGCCTTAACCCCAGCCCTCACCTTTGGGTGGGTCATTTATCATTGGAGGTAGTTGGGGGCCAGGCATGGCTGGAGCCACCTGAGCCCAGGGAGGGTGCAAGGCCCAGAATGGGCCAGGCATGGCTATGGCCACCTGAGCCCCACTGGGGAGGGAAGCCCTGTAGCCCCAGTGAGGGGGCAGAGATGAGGAGCCCCAGTGAGGGGAAAACCAGAGGGCTGGGAGCCCAGTATGTATGAGCATATAGAGTTGCCCCGGAAGGGGCCAGGGCAAGCTTAGATCCAGTCAGGTAATTGGCTGGCCACTACCCTGGTGAGGGTTGCGGGAGAGGCCCAAAAGACGGTATGTCTGCCACCTAAGGTGTGAACTAGCTAAAGCTTATGGCCTAAGGGGCCTGCTCCAAGAGGGAAAAAGGCAGTACAAGTTGTTGAGGCATAAAAGAGACCCTGAGGGGGGGTGGAGTGTGAGAGGCCCTAGTGAGAGGAGGGCGGTATGAATGTGTGTACGTTTGAGGCCTGACAACAAGGGCTAAGCTTGATCCAGCTGTAAGCTGGGAGCATTGTCATCTGGATGCCATCTGCGAGGCTTGGGCTGCGGTGTAGGGGAGGAACAGAGCTGCAGATAGCACCCCCTGGCATCGGGGCAAGAAATGGTCAGCCTGCCGCCTTAATTAACATGATTAATTACAACAAGGCATGGCAGACGAGACAGGTGGGCGGTATGCCCAGAGACAGGTGGGGAAACCAGCACTATGGCTGGTCAGGGAGTTCCCACTTTGCCACAGAGGGGAAGGGCACAAGAATACAGGGGCCTAGAAACGGAGGAAGACAGGATGTGTGGGGGAGATGCAGGCAAGGCTGATCGAGGATTTAAAAGGCATAGAGATAAACGTAGCCATGCGGGCGGCATAACAGAGAAAGCTGTGGCAAGATGGTCTTCCTCCTCCCTCTTCCTCCCCCAGTGTGAAAAAAAACCTGTGGCAGGGTCTGTGTGTTAATGTGTGTATTGCAGCACCTGACACGCTCTGGGGGCTATTTCATTCATACTAATAATATCCCTGCTGGACTCAGTGATTGATGGCAATGAGGAGGGAAGGTGTGTAGAGGTGCACTGGAGTGACCACAGTGATTACTAGCATTTTCGGAGTTTGAGCAGTTTCTCAGGGAAGAAAAACCTCTTTGCAAACAGAAAGGCAAAGCCCCCTGCATTTCTTCACGTACTCACTGGAACAGACTTTTCCGGCATTAGAAGCATGAGACGCCTGCTGTCTCCAGCTAGACAAAAGGAAACAGTCTTCTAGGAACAGTGAGTCAAGGTGTTAGCGCTGCAGTAGGGAGAGATCAAGAG